TGAATTGTCCAAAACAGGTAAATAGAAACAGAAAGTAGATTAGTGGTTGCATAGGGCTGGAGTGAGGAAGGGTCAGAGGATGAAGGATTAGTGGTAGACAGCTACATGAGACAGGGCTTTGTTGGGAGGAGATGAAATTATTCTAGAATCGTGGAGGTGGCTTCATCACTTTGTGCGTACACTTCACATCCTTGCACATATACTTGAAATGGGTAAACTGTCTGATATGTGTCTCAATAAAGTGGTTACAAAGAGTGTTACTATCTAAATGTTGATGACACCCCAATCAGAGTTGCGAGATTTCACAAAATATATATAAAAAAAAAAAGCACAGTTCATAAGTCCACTAAAAAAATAAATAAATAAATTACTGTTTCTCTTAAGTTCAAATTAAACTGGATGCCTTGTATTTTATCTGGCAACCTGACTCCCAAGTCTATAACCTACAACCTAGAACGTACTAATTATCCTCAATTCAAGATCCAGGTATCCAACTACACAGTAGGAAGTTTTACTTAGTTAACTGCCAAATAGCAAATGAACATAAAACTAAAATCACCTTTCTTATGAGAAGATATTCAATTATGTCAGAAGTGGTAGGTCAGGGCTTGTGCAGGTCTCTGGAGCCCTCTCTCAGCCCCCGATGGCCTGGCATCAACAATCTGGTGGTTGGATTAGTGGGTGTGGTGTCTAGGAGCTGAGGTTTAACCAACACGGGGGAGGAGTTTCAATACGTTGAGAAACATCACCCTGATGGTGAGGGCAGGCTGAGCATCCAACTCCCTTTTTCAAAACAAAGATCACCTTCCTTCCCTCACCCATGGCTTCATTGCCATTGTCTTGACCTGGAAATCTGCAGGCCTAGCCCATCTCCGTAGCAACTAAATTTTACTTCTAAAAAAAAACCAGTCTGATATCGTCATTCTGCTGCTTTAACCCTTTCAATACAGTGGCTCCTACCATGGTCAAATAAAGTCAAAGTCAATCAAGAAGAGGTCTCTGCCTGGGCCCCTGGGTGGCTCAGTTGGTTACGCCTCGACTCCCGGGTTGGGCTCAGGTCCTGGTGTCAGGGTCGGGACCCCGGATCCTTCACAGGGCTCCACACTCTGTGGGGAGTCTGCTAAAACTTCTCTCTCCATCTCCCTCTGCGCATTCTAGCACTGTGCACATTCTCACATACACGCACATGTGGCTCGCCTTCTCTCTCTTGCTTGTTGACATACTTGAAAGTGAACAGAATGGGTCAAAAGACACACTTGAAGTTTGCGTGTGATAGAGACTGGGAGTGGGGGCAGCTAGTAAGAAACAGAGAATGGACTAGAGGGGCACAGTAAACTTTACTTTAAAAGCACATTTTACAGCAATTACAGAAAGATCCTTGTAATAGTACACATGCTACTGTGCCACTTAAATGCTAGCAACATCAATTTGTTTATTCATTGTTTTTCTAAAACCAGGATATCAGTAACTATGCTTCCTCACCACTTACTAGTCACACTTACTTTGAAAAACCACCAAGCTTAAAACTCAAGAGCTAGTGTAAGACTTTGAAAAAAATATTAGTGTTCTTTTCTTAGTAGAAATAACAACCACCTGTCACTACTTTTTGGTCTTTCACGTGCTATAATTTAATACTAAATGCCTGCTTGTATTTGCCTAACCTATGTAACTATCAAAGAAAGGAGATCTTCACTATTGTATTTGAAACTCACAAACCACCTTGTTAACATTATAATTTCCATTTTATAGGAAGGAAACAGTGGCCACATTACAACTAAATAGAGACACACGTGCATGCATTGTTTTGGGCATGTCTGTTTAATGGTTAAGGGGGTGCTGATGAACACAACGATACACAAAGGTACCGTGGCAATTCCATAAAAACTAAATCAAGCACTCTAGTCTTTACATGTATTGTTAGGACAATGCCACATCTCAACTTTTTCATTTCTTGAGAGTTGCTACTGCTTGAGGCAGGCAAATTTCAACAAATTTGATGGGAAAAAATGGACTAAGATTTCTTCTATCCTGTGAAGCAAAAGCACATTGGAAGTGGCTGATTTTCAAATACTATACATCACTAACATCCTTCTCTCATGACAGACAACCATAGCAAATTCACCTGAGTTTGGTTTTGGTGCAGATAGAGCTAAGGCACCACAGGTATCAATTTCCTACAGACTCAAGTAAGACTCACATTTTTTATTCAGCTTGAGTTAAATGAAAAAAAAAATGCAATTCATATTTCCAGAAGCAAAACTAAGCTTCTTAATCTCATTTTACTATTTTAAGATTTCTCATCATTCCCAGCATTGCTGTGTGGCAAGATCTCATTTCTGGTGGCTGAACATTTCCATGGCATGATGCTTTCCCAAGAACCAGCTCCAGAAACTCTTTTTCTTCGTTTTGAACTTCCATGTATTTATACACAAAATACCATTTCAATGGCGTTGTGGAAAAAAAAAAAAAAAAGCAACTTCTTCAAATTTCAGTTGACATTGTCAAAGGTTATTTATTTATTTATTTATTTATTTTTATTATTTTTTACTGGAGTTCAATTTGCCACCATATAGCATAACACCCAATGCTCATCCTATCAGGTGCCCCCCTCAGTGCCCATCACCCAGTCACCCCCACCGCCCACCCACCTCCCTTTCCACCACCCCTTCTTCATTTCCAGAGTTAGGAGTCTCTCATGGTCTGTCTCCCTTTCTGATATTTCCCCCTTGTTTTTTTTCCTTTCCCTTTATTCTGTTTCACTATTTTTTATATTCCCCAAATGAATGAGACCATATACTGTTTGTCCTTCTCCGACTGACTTATTTCACTCAGCATAATACCCTCCAGTTCCATCCACACGGAAGCAAATGGTGGGTACTTGTTGTTTCTAATGGCTGAGTAATATTCCACTGTATACATATCACATTTTCTTTATCCATTCATCTTTTGATAGACACAAAGGCTTCTTCCACAGTTTGACTATTGTGGACATTGCTGCTATAAACACCAGGGTGCAGGTGTCCCGGCATTTCACTGCATCTGTATCTTTGGGGTAAATCCCCAGCAGTGCAATTGCTGGGTCGTATGTAGGGCAGATCTATTTTTAACTCTTTAAGGAACCTCCACAGTTTTCCAGAGTGGCTGCACCAATTGACATTCCCACCAACAGTGCAAGAGGGTTCCCCTTTCTCCACATCCTCTCCAGCATTTGTTGTTTCCTGAACAGGCCAATAGCCAGGGAGTAAATTGAAGCAGTCATGAAAAACCTCCCAAGACACAAAAGTCCAGGGCCAGATGGCTTCCCAGGAGAATTCTATCAAACATTTACAGAAGAAACCAGGGAAGCCCTGGTGGCGCAGTGGTTTAGCACCACCTGCAGCCTTCGGCCTGATCCTTGAGACCTGAGATTGAGTCCCACGTCAGGCTCCTGCATGGAGCCTGCTTCTCCCTCCTTCTGTGTCTCTGCCTCTGTCTATATATGTCTATCATAAATAAATCTTTAAAAAAAATAAAGAAGAAACCATACATATTGTACTAAAGATATTCAGAAAGACAGAAGTAGATGGAGTACTTCCAAACTGCATCACCTTAATTACAAAACCACACAAAGACCCCACCAAAAAGGATAATTAGAGACCAATCTCCCTGACGATCACGGATGCAAAAACTCTCAACAAGATATTAGCCACTAGGATCCAACAATACATTAAGAAGATGCTTCACTATGACCAAGTGGGATTTATCCCCGGGATGCAAGGCTGGTTCAACACTTGTAAAGCAATCAATGTGATTGATAATATCAGCAAGAGAAAAAAACAACAACCACACGATCCTCTCAATAGATGCAGAGAAAGCATTTGACAAAATACAGCACCCATTCCTAATCAAAACTCTTCAGGGTGTAGGGATAGAGGGAACATTCTTCAGCATCTTAAAAGCCACCTATGAAAAGCCCACAGCAAATATCATTCTCCATGGGGAAACACTGGCAGCCTTTCCCCTAAATCAAGAACAAGACAGGGATGTCCACTCTCACCACTGCTATTCAACCTAGTACTGGAAGTCCTAGCCTCAGCAATAAGACAACAAAAAGAAATAAAAGGAATTCACATTGGCAAACAAGTCAAACTCTCCCTCTTCACTGATGACATGATACACTACATAGAAAACCCAAAAGACTCCACCCCAAGATTGCTAGAACTCATACAGCAACTCGGCAGTGTGGCAGGATACAAAATCAATGCCCAGAAGTCAGTGGCACTTCTATACACTAACAATGAGACTGAAAAAAGAGAAATTAAGGAGTCAGTCTCATTTACAATTGCACCCAAAAGCCTAAGATACCTAGGAATAAACTAACGAACCTAAAAACTACGTAACACTTCTGAAAAAAATTGAGGACGACATAAAGAGATGGAAAAATACTCCATGGTCATGGATTGGAAGAATTAATATAGTGAAAATGTCAATGCTACCTAGGGCAATTTACACATTTAATGCAATCCCTATCAAAATACCATGGACTTTCTTCAGAGAGTTGAAACAAATTATCTTAAGATTGGTGTGGAAAGGTAATTATTTTGGTAATTATTTTAAATTAATGTGGCTACAAACTGCTGCCATCCTTAACCTCAGAAAATATATTCCTTCTAATTTTTGTTGTGACCATTCAATACTCAAGCTAAATTCCAGATCATGAATGTTGTCCATAAGGAGCCTATACCTTCCTGCTATTATTTCATATTCTTCTTCTAAACAAGGGCAGGCATACGTTGGCTTCATTAGTGCACACAGCCAGATCACCACCATTAAGGGAAATCATCTAGGTATTTTTGGTAAAATCTTTAACAACTTCCATGCCCATCAGGGAAGTGGAACAAGGCTGATTTGTTCTGCCTTGCAGAAGGCAACAATCTGATCTCTGGTTTATGAGACAGCACTCAAAATGGTTTTCCATATGTTTTCCCACCAAGAGAATCTGACATCAGCATGGTTTTTACCTTTACCAGTGAATGCAGGCTTTTCTCACCAAACATATCCCAGAGGAAGGTCAGGTCTTCCTGGCTGTCCACATGTGGCCCCAGCCGGCCTGGCACAACAGCCAACAGCCAACAGCTCATACAGACCTAGAAAGTGAAAAATAAAACACAAAGCGTAATCGTAGAGTGATGTCATTAATTTCACTTAAGGTGTGTGTGAAGGATGGCTGGAAAAATGTCGTTTTTACTGGATCAGTAACCTGGGCCATCAAGCAGAATGCTTCTCCGAGGAAGCCAAGGAACCTTTTTGATTTTTAAAGCCCAAACAAATATGCAGCATCAACAGGCCAGCCTTTCGTTTGTCAGCATTCTCCAGGCATCCAAGTGGACACAACCCGAGGCAGAAAATGTGTACAAGCTTTCAGAGGAAGAAGAAAACTAAATTGTCACTACATTTGCCTCAGTGTTAGCCAAAGAGCAAAATGAGTCATGAATAGGAAAAACTTCCTTAGAAGAGCAGAAAATTGATAGAGTGGCCCATTAAAAAGGTTTTGTGTGGGGATCCCTGGGTGGCGCAGCGGTTTGGCGCCTGCCTTTGGCCCAGGGCGCGATCCTGGAGACCCGGGATCAAGTCCCACATCGGGCTCCCAGTGCATGGAACCTGCTTCTCCCTCTGCCTGTGTCTCTGCCTCTCTCTCTCTCTGTGACTATCATAAATAAAAAAATAAAAAAATAAAAAATTAAAAAATTAAAAAAAATTAAAAAAAATAAAAAGGTTTTGTGGTTTCCAAAGAGTTCCTAATGATATATAGCTTCAAAACCATTTGCGTTATCTACATCCAAATTCAAGTTCCAGGGATCCCTGGGTGGCGCAGTGGTTTGGCAGGGATCCCTGGGTGGCGCAGTGGTTTGGCACCTGCCTTTGGCCCAGGGCGCGATCCTGGAGACCCGGGATCGAATCCCACATCGGGCTCCCGGTGCATGGAGCCTGCTTCTCCCTCTGCCTATGTCTCTGCCTCTCTCTCTTTCTCTCTCTGTGACTATCATAAATAAATTTAAAAAAAAAAAAATTAAAAAAAAAAAAAAACAAATTCAAGTTCCAAAAAGCTAAGGCCTATTAAGCCATACGTGGTGTTGCTTTCTTGTAGCTGCTCATTTTTCAAAAACAACCACCACAAGCTACACAGAACTGAGTTTACCTTTAACTCCAATCTGGGCGTATGCCGTACCCTCTGAAAGAGTTAAGGAAAAGGATGCAGGTTCCTCGGGGCCCTCTTCACTAGAAGCTTCCTGGGGCTAGACAGCAGCGCCCTGTTCCACCAGTAGCCTGTTGCAGAAACCCTCCACCTCCTCTGGGGGCCGTCAGACTCCTGTCCAAGAACTGTTTCGACAGTGCCTGCCCGGGGCCTCTTCAGGGAGGTGACCTAGAAGAAGTCAGTATCAACTCTCAGCACACATTTCACTTTCCAGTGGGATTATACGAGGTAAAAAGAAGAAACTTCCTTTTATTTCTGTCTGTCTACAAGAGCACCGAAACCTCCTGGGATCTACGACACAGGAGCGTGTTGTTATTCCTGCTCTGAAGAAGTGCTGCAGTTCATCACAGGGACAGCTTTACAAGATATGTAACTAGCAAAGAATCATAAATTATGGCCTGCTGATTAGTCTATCTATTATCTTCCTAAAGTATTATCATATTCTGATAATCAGTGATCATTCACCAAATGTATTCGCTTTCCCTTGGAAAGCTGGATCTGTAACTTGAGACGTTAAACTCAAACATTCCTGGGACTGCATGTGGCCAAAAAGATCTATTCTACTTTAGGGGGAAGAAAATGTCTCCCTATTACATTCTAAAGTATTCTTGATGATTTACACTTATTCCCTTAAAAACCTGGCATCATGCGTAAGCTAGCTCTTATCGATGATTTCATAAAAATATTTGTAAGGTGTCCCAAATAGTCTGTTTCATATGTAACTCGGTGAGCTTCAGCTATTGTTGTTATTATTACTGTTATTCATCATGACTATTACTTTTTAAAGATTAATTTATTTTACAGAGAGGCACAGGACAGGGGCAGAGGGAAACAGAATCTTAAGCAGACTCCATGCTCAGCATGGAGCTTGACACGAAGCTCCAAATCATGACTCTGATCATGGCTGGAGCTGAGACCAAGAGTCAGACACTCAACCCACTGCACCACCCAGGAGTGTCCATCGCTACTGCTATTGAAAAATCAAAACTCTGAGTCAAACAGACCTAGATTCAAACCAGGTCTATACTTCATTTACCTCCCATAACTTACCTCAGCCTTCATTCCGTCATATGTTCAAAAGAAACGGTAATCTATACATGTAGTAAACTGGACAGGAAAAAATACACAAACGTATGCACATACACAAGTGTGTGCATATAATACAGGTAAAATCTGAAGAAGCCTAAGGGACTGCATCAGTGACGATGTACCCACGTGGTTACCAGAACTATGCGAGATGTCACCACTGGAGGAAGCAGGATCAAGGGTACACAGGATCTGTATTATGTCTTTCAACACATGAATCCACAGTTATCTCAAGTACAGTTAAAGCAAGAGGAGAAGTGGTGGTTAAAATGATTGTTATAAGAATGCAAGGGAACAAGGCACGTAGTCCTGTGGTTGGCACAAAAGAGGCATTTGATGAATTTTTAAAAGATTTTATTTATCCATGAGACGGACAGAGAGAGAGAGAGAGGCAGAAACATAGGCAGAAAGAGAAAAAGGCTCCATGCAGGCAGCCCAAAGTGGGACTTGATCCCAGGACTCCAGGATCACACCCTGGGCTGAAGGCTGACGCTTCAACACTGAGCCACCCAGGCGTCCCTGATAAAAAGATTTTAAAAATTGGGCAGCCCGGGTGGCTCAGCAGTTTAGCACTGCCTTCCGCCCAGGCGTGATCCTGGAGTCCAGGGAACGAGTCCTGCGTCGTCGGGCTCCCTGCATGGAGCCTGCTTCTCCCTCTGCCTGTGACTCTGACTCTCTCTCTGTCTCTGTGTGTCTCTCTTATGAATAAATAAAATCTTTAAAAAGTTTTAAAAAATAATAAAGTGATTTCTTAAGACTTCCTCAACTGGCAACTACCCCTTACTAGAATTCTGTCTATACCTTTACTCAACTTACTTCAAAAAGTTTGGTTCTCTAATGAAGAACCAAGAGGAGCAGAAAAATAAGCGTCCACATAAAACACATAAAGAGAAAGATCCCTATAATTTCTAATCTGTGGATAAAACCTGAAAGGAGTCTGGGGGACTAACCAAATAGCAAATCACTTTGAGATTGATGACATATGCCTTATTATCTAAATAATTAAAATAGAAAATAGAAAACACAGGGACACCTGGGTGATTGAGAAGCTGAGCGTCTAACTTTGGCTCAGGGCGTGATTCTGGCCCATGATCCAGCCCCACATTGGGCTTCCTATGGGGAGCCTGCTTCTCCCTCTGCCTGTGTCTCTGCCTCTCTCTGTGTCTCTCACAAATCAAGAAGTAAAATCTTTTACAAATAAAATAAAATAGAAAACATATATAAGAAAATCTACTTCTGAAGATAATCGACTTTTTTTAATTATACGGCCCCGATATTTAAACTATGGCTTTTTAAAATCATAAACAAGGAAAAAAATTTTAAAAAGCAACAGTAAGCCCTAGGAGATCATGAAAACCAGCCCGGCGCAGCCCGCGCCGCACCCACGCCCCGGGAGCGCACGGTCCGGGAGGCCCCGCCGGCGAGGCGCCCAGCCCCGGCGAGGGAGGAGGCCGCCGCGCGCAGCCCGCGACCGTGCGTCCCCGCTGCTCGGGGTCCCTGCCCGCGCCCCGCCCGCGGCCCCGCGGCTCGCACCTGCCTCAGCGCGGACATCCTCGGGCGCTCGGAGTTCAGCAGGCGCAGGGCGACCTGGCGCGCGCCCGTCCATCCCCCCGTCGGCCGCCGCGCTCCGACCGCGCTCCAGCCTGCCGCACGCTCCGAGCCGCCCCCCGCCGGCGCCTGCGCCCTTGGCGCCCGAGAGGCCCGGCGCGCTAGGGGGCGGCGGGCGCGCAGAGGCATCTGGGGAGGGGCCAGGCCCCCACCGTGGAGCCCAGGCCACGCGCCGGGCCCCGGTCGCCACGCCGCCCCGCCCTTCGGCGCGCAGGCCCCGCCCCGTATGCCACCTGCGGCGCGGGCCCGCCCGGCGCCCGAGGCGGCTGGTAGCCCGGGGCGCGTGCTGCTCGCTGGCCGCCCCGCGGTCCCGGCGCCACGGAGTTAGCGCGCGGCTCCCCACGTGCCTCAGCGCCCGGGGGCGGCGCCCCGCATCCGGAGGACTGACCGGCACCAGACGCGGCGGGCGGCGTGGCCGGAGGCTCCCGAGCCGTCCAGGGACCGGCCGTCCTGCCGCTGGCGCTGCCCTAACCTGAGCCGCTTCCGCCTGCGCCCGTGTTCCCTCGCGGCTGCCCCGCGGGAGCCGGACGCCGCCCCCTCCTCAGTCCCCGCAGCTCCCCCAGGCCGCCCGTCCGCCCGGCGCAGCCCGCGCCGCACCCACGCCCCGGGAGCGCACGGTCCGGGAACCCCCGCCCGCGAGGCGCCCAGCCCCGGCGAGGGAGGAGGCCGCCGCGCGCAGCCCGCGACCGTGCGTCCCCGCTGCTCGGGGTCCCTGCCCGCGGCTCGCACCTTCCTCAGCGCAGACATCCTGGGTGCTCCGAGTTCAGCAGGCGCGGGGCGACAGGCCGGCCGTCGGTCCGCTGGGCCGCCGCGGCGCGCTCCCACTGCGCTCCAGCCCCGCGCACGCTCGGAGCCCCCCGCCGGCGCCTGCGCACTGGGCGCTTCATCTCTTACTATAGTCTTTGGTTTAAGATCTAATTTATCTGAGTGGGAAATATCAGAGACGGAGACAGAACATGAGAGACTCCTAACTCTGGGAACGAACAAGGGGTGGTGGAAAGGGAGGTGGGCGGGGGGGTGGGGGTGACGGGCACTGAGGGGGGCACTTTGATGGGATGAGCACTGGGTGTCATGCTATATGTTGGCAAATTGAACTCCAATAAAAAAACTGGAAAAAAATAAAAATGAAATCTAACTTATCTGATATGAGGATTGCTACCTTGCTTTCTTTTGAGGTCCATCTGCATGATAAATGGTTCTTCACCTGCTACATCACTGACTACCAGAGAAATACAAATCAAAACCACAATGAGATACCACCTCACACCAGTGAGAATGGGGAAAATGAACAAGACAGGAAACAACAGATGTTGGCAAGGATGTGGAGAAAGGGGAATCTTCTGGCACTGTTGGTGGGAATACACGCTGGTGCAGCCACTCTGGAAAACAGTAAAGAAGTTCTTCAAGAAGTTAAAAATAGAGCTACCCCATGACCCAGCAATTGCACTACTGGTTATTTACCCCAAAGACACAGATGTAGCGAAACGCTGGGACACCTACACCTCAATGTTTATAGCCAGCAGTGTCCCCAGTAGCCAAACTGTGGGAGGAGGCACGATGTCCATGGACAGATGAATGAAGAAGATGTGGTCTACATACAATGGAATATTACTCAGCCACCAGAGAGAATGAATACCCACCATTTACATCAACATGGATGGAAGTGAAGGGTATTATGCTGAGTAAAATAACTCAATCAAAAAAAGACAATTAACATACGCTTTCACTCATAAGTGGGATATAAGAAATAATGCAGAGGACCATAAGGGAAAGGAGGGGAACTGAATGGAAAGTCATTAGAGAGGGAGACAAACCATAAGAGATACTGAACTCTAGGAAACCAACTGAGGGTCGCTGGAGAGGCGGTGGGTAGAGGGATGGGGAATTGGGTGACAGGCATTAAGGAGGGCATTTGATGTAATGAGCACTGGGTGTTGTCCTACATGTTGGCAAATTGAATTTAAATTAAGAAAAAAAGAAAGCAGAAAAAAAAAGAAATACATGATTCAGTAAAGTTGCAGGATACAAAATTAAGATACAGAAATCTGTTGAGTACCTATACACTAACAATGAAGTAGCAGAAAAAGAAAATAATAAAACAATCTCATTTACAACTGCACCAAAAAAGTAAAATACCCAGTAACAAAATTAACCAAGGAGGTGAAAGACCTATACTTCAAAAACTATAAAACACTGATGAAAGAAATTGAAGACCACACATGTGGAAAGACATCCTCGGCTCACAGACTGGAAGACCCAATATTGTTAAAATGTCTATGCTACCCAAAGTAATCTATAGAATCAATGCAATCCCTATCAAAATACCAAAAGCATTTTTCACAGAACTAGAATAAATAATACTAAAATCTTACAGAACCACAAAAGCCTATAAAACCCAAAACAAGGCCGGGGGGGGGGGGGGAGAGAACCTGGAAAAACAAAAAGAACACCAACCTCAAATTTCAAGAAATACTACAAAACTATAGTCGTCAAGACAGTATGGTCCTGGCACAGAAACAGTCACTTAGAGCAGTGGAACAGAATAGAAAACTCAGAAATGGACCCATGCTTACAGCTCACAGGGCCACGTAACTTACAACAAAGGTAGTAAGAATACACAATGGGGAAAAGACAGTATCTTCGACGTGGCGTTGGGAAAACTGGGCAGTTACATGACTAGGAATGAAACTGGGCCACTTTCTGGCGCCAAACACAAACTCAAAATGGATTAGACACCTAAATGTGAGATCTGAAACCATAACCCTACTGGCAGAGAGCACTGGCTGTAGTTTATTCGACATCAACTGTAGAAACATTTTTCTAGATAGGTCTTAGGCAAGGAAAACAAAAGCAAAATTCCACTTTTGTGACTACACCAAAATAAAAACTGTTTGCACAGCAAAGGAACCGAGTAACGAAAAAGTAGCCGAGCCGTCCAGGGACCGTCCGTCCTGCCGCTGGCGCTGCCCTAACCTGAGCCGCTTCCGCCTGCGCCCCTGTCCCCTCGCGGCGGCCCCGCGGGCGCGGGCGCCGCCCCCTCCTCAGTCCCCGCAGCTCCCCCAGCCCGCCCGGCGCAGCCCGCACCGCACCGCACCCACGCCCCGGGAGCGCACGGTCCGGGAGGCCCCGCCGGCGAGGCGCCCAGCCCCGGCGAGGGAGGAGGCCGCCGCGCGCAGCCCGCGACCGTGCGCCCCTGCTGCTCGCGGTCCCTGCCCGCGCCCCGCCCGCGGCCCCGCGGCTCGCACCTGCCTCAGCGCCGACATCCTCGGGCGCTCGGAGTTCAGCAGGCGCAGGGCGACCTGGCGCGCGCCCGTCCGTCCGTCTGCCTGGCCGTCAGTCCGCGGGGCCGCCGCCACGCGCTCGGACCGCGCTCCAGGCCCGCGCACGCTCGGAGCCCCCGCCGGCGACTGCGCACTGGGCGCCCCGGGCGCCCCGGAGGCCCCGCGCGCTGGGGGGCGGTCGGCGCACGGAGCCCTCTGGGCGCTGGAGGCGGCGGGTGGCCCAGGACAGAAAAGGCTCATCAATCACCTCATCTTTCCTTCTGAATGCAGATTTGGCCTCAGAATGTCCAGCAAGGCTCTTAGAAGCCATAACTGCATGTGCTCCAGACAATGTTTGTCACTGTTGCTTGCATTCATCAGTTGTAGGCAAAATTATGAGAGACTGAGAAAGCACAGATTTTATTACTTTTGTCTGCTACCTAAAAGAAGGAATAGAGAACTTGGACCTCAATGTAAGCAAACCTAAAACCCACATATTACTTTTCATTACTTTATCCGTATTAGTGGATAGAGTGACCTTCATTTTGGAAACATGAGATCCAAGTTTTCTGTGGAGGAAACCTGATCTCTCTCAGAAAGATTAAACTTCAGCTCTCGAGTGTATCTCTTGAGATGTTTCACATCCAAGCTTTGGATGTGACCTGTATTCAAGTCCATTCAAATTCATAAATATTTAATGAATGTCTGCTCTCTGGAAAATGTATTCCCTGGTAGGAATTGGTTATTAACAGATGGAAGAAAGCTAATAGATCCTCCATGGCAAGTGTATTCAGAGATGACATCTCATAATATCACAAACTCTTAGAAAGGATTGCTTAAGGGGCTAATATAAACCTTATCTTTCAAACGTGACCAATCAAAAATTCCTAATAACAGGTAAATCTTTTTTTTTTAATTTATTTATGATAGAGAGAGAGAGAGAGAGGCAGAGACATAGGCAGAGGGAGAAGCAGGCTCCATGCACCGGGAGCCCGACGTGGGATTCGATCCCGGGTCTCCAGGATCGCGCCCTGGGCCAAAGGCAGGCGCTAAACCGCTGCGCCACCCAGGGATCCCCATAACAGGTAAATCTATTCTAAAATTTGTTTTTGAAATTTCTTTGAGAAGAAAATATGTTGCTAAGCAAATTTGCAATATACGTGCAAATGTAACAGCAGTTTTAACCTAGGTAAGAGAATAATTTCCAGGGACTCCAGCAACATTTATTAAGTAGTGACAATAAAGGTCAACAACTTGACAACAAGTCTTATCTGTCCAATAAAGCCAGTCTTTTTTTTTTTTAGATTTTATTTATTTATTCATGAGAGGTACACACACACAGAGAGAGAGAGAGAGAGAGGCAGAGACACAGGCAGAGGGAGAAGCAGGCTCCACGCAGGGAGCCCGATGTGAGACTCGATCCGAGGTCTCCAGGACCACGCCCTGGGCTGAAGGCGCCACCAAACCATTGGGCCACCGTGGCTGCCCCATTAAAGCCAGTCTAGCAGGATCTCCATTTTGGCAAAATAATAAGCAATTGATTCAAAATAATTAGTAGCTTAAGAACATCAAAAATTTTGGATTTTTTTTAATTCATTGTTCAGATTTTCTCCTAATGCACCTTGCTTCTTCTGCCTGTGACTTTGGATTGGTCAAGTGTTATCTGTACAAAAGAAATTCTTAGACATATATTGAGTCTTTCAGTTGCAAGATCACTAAGAACTTTCTGCAATAGGAAATCTTCAATTAAATGACCA